GGGAGCGGGGACGGCGGGGGCTCTGCGCTCTTCCCCCCGCACCACCACCACCCCACACCCCGGGCTGCTGCGCGCGTGGGGCGGGTCGCGGGGGTCCGCGCACCGTCCCGGTGGCGCCCCTCCCCCTCGCCCCGATGTGTAGGGGTCCTCCTCCTCCGGAGCCCGCGGTCCCCTCCCCGGGCGACAACTTCTCGGAGGTGGGAGCCGGGCTGCCAGCCCTGGCCGCTGCGGGCGTGGTGGCGCGGCGTGGCGCGCAGGAGCTGCGGCGGCGGTGGTGGTGACGGGGGTACCGGGAAGCATCATCATCGGGCCGGTGGAGTCCCGGTGGCATGGCCCGGGCTTGCTTGGTTGGTGTCGGGCTTGCTCAGGCAGCCCAGCCAGAAGCACTAGGCGCGAGCAATTTGCGTGTGTGTGTGTCTGTGTCTATGTGTGTGTGTGCGTGCGCGCTTAGGGGAGTAGGGTTATGGGAAGGGGTGGTGGGCTAAAACTGAAGTGCGGCTAAGGCATTCTGCCCCCCTGGAGAACCCGAGCGGAGCTGAGAACCCAGAAAGCTAGAAGGACAGCCCATTGCCCCGTGCTCAACACTCAGGTGCCAAGGACAGGAAAGGTAGGAGCTTGGAGAGTTTCGAAGCTGACCCTGCTGCAGGGAAAGGACTGAGTTGCTGCTTGAAGTTGGGAAATTGAGGGAACCAGAGGAAATTCATGAGTTTAGTGTGGCTGCTTTGGACTGCTTTCTTCTCAACAACGGAGGGGTCAGACGAAATTGGAGCACTTATCTACCCGACCTCAAGGACCATCCGGCTGGTTGTGTGCCCTTCCAGGTTGGTGACCCTCCAGAACTGATGGCTGCATTTACCTGCAGACACGCGCTCTGGAGCCCGCTGCTGCCACCTGCGGGTGAAAAGCTGAAGGAAGCAACATGCTGGAGCAAGGGATGGTCACTGGGATTCAGGAAAGGAAGTCGCATTTGCCGCCCCAGCTGCTACTGAAAACATCCCTAATTTTGCTAGAGTGAGGGTAGACTGTTAAGATCCACGGCAGAATAAAGCCATTGGAGTAGATTGCTGAGAGTGATAAGAACTGTTCGCGGAGCTTAAAAAAAATGCCACCTCACTTCCTGTCTTTAGAGATTTAAAACTGGAAGAAGAAGAAAAAAGAAAAGAAAAGAAAAAGGCGGGGAGAGGGGAGGGAAGCTAAGCAACAAGTTTCCTGTGGCAAGTGGGACTTGCCTTACTTGGAAAATGACATTTGTGTAGGGGGCAACTTTAACCATACTGAGGACATCCAATGATGGCTTCTTTGAACAAACGTAACATTTCAGAGTAACTCGAGATTGAATGGGGCGTAGGGGCTGTATTCTCCAGAAGTCAGATCGGATAATCAAAAGCGATTTTTTTTTTCCCATCCTAGAAAGCCAAAGGCGTTTGATCTCATAAAGTTATTCATGTTCATACTTTATATTGTAACGAGTGTCTCTTTAAATCGCCCCATTTGTAAACAAGCTTTCCTAATGTTTTGAGAAGTGCTTCCAGTGGTTAATAAAGTTCCAGTATCCCTGTGTGTGCTGTTGCTCACGTATTGGAGCCTTCACAACCTTTGGGTAAAACTGAAGCTGGGGAGATCTAGTAGCATTTTGTTGTTTTTAGTTTCTGCCACTCTGCTTTTCCCCACCTTAGATGCCAGGTGGCCGCTATGTTGCAGGTATTTTGCATGGACAGACTAAATAAAGGGAAAACTAAGCTAATGCTGTCTGCCGAAAAAGCTGCTGCTGTGTGGCCACGTGCTCTATCAGCTCTTTAAATTGACCGGAGTAACAAGCATTTGTATGGATTCATCCATAACCTTGTAATAGTCTCCCTGCCATCAGAATCAGCGTGAGAAATCCTTAGCCTGTACAGGAAAGCAGGCTATCTATCTCTCTAATCACTGAACTATGACCTTTCAATACACGGCATTCGTCTTTTTATAAGCAGAATGGACTGTTCCCTAAGCATAGGAGGTGCTTGGGTGCGTGGCTAAGAAATGAAATTACTTCCTTGAGATCCATCTTTACCAAGCAGTAGAGGAGAGGTAGGGAATGATGACCTCAGCTTTCTGAGGACACATGCAGGAAATCCCCAAAACAGACTAGTCCAGATCGTTGGCATCCCCACCATTACTGAGCCGCCATTCTCTACAGAGGTAACCATCTCATCTTCCTTCTGTTTCGCTTCTCAGGATTCCCTGGGACAACTTTCAAATAAAGCACTGCACTGAAATCCTTGTATTGAGTACCTGCCTCTAAGGAAACCCAACCTTAAAAAAAAAAAAAAAAAATCAAGGGCTTTTATTCTTGATCTTTTATTAGTGCAATATCTGCAGAAGAGTGAACAAAAAAATATAACCGAAGGTTAAGTCTGTATTGTGTGCAACTAGTATCTACCTGCTGAATCTACTTCACATTGTCTCATTAATTACAGAAAAACTGGGAACTGGTACAATGCCAATCCCCAAGTGAAAGAAACTAAAATATTAGGCAGGTCAAGTGTCTCTATGAAAGGTTCACATGTTCCCAGTGCCAGAACTGTCAAGTTTGAATGCTCATCTTTGGTAAATAAAAATTGGTGTTCCAAACCGTGGTGCAACATGCCCCCAGTGATATTTTAATGTAATTCTCAGTCATCTTCTTCCAGTTTCACCAAGACATCATGACAGCAGTATTTAAAGGGTGTTTACATGTTTGTATTTAGTTCCTTGTGAAGTAAATTCCCATCATGTCCTTTAGATACAGTATAGCTGGTGTCTGACACGGAGAAGGTGCCCTAGTTAGGGATGCCATTCCATTCCTTAAGGTGGCTGTGCCCTTCTTGTTCCATTTCTTCCTGTCCCTGGAACTAAATGCCTTAGTGGAAGAAACATTAATCACAGCCGAGAGAATCATGACTGTTCCATAGAGGTGTGTAGAGGGGAGAGATGTCTCGCATTGGAATGTCGATTGCATTTTCATTTAGAAAGAAGGTCATAAACTATTTAGCTATGGGGTGCTAAGGGCTTCCCTTGACTAGTCTGGTGACATAACTATTGTTAATTACCTTGTTTCTGTGGGGAAATGTGCTCCACATCGCATACCTCCATCTGGGCTCACCTTGGCATCCTGCTTTAAAGTACCTTTCAAGGTTGAGTCACACCCACTTCATTTATCTTTCAGGACAACTCATGGTCTGTCCTAAGTACACAGCCTCTAAACCTGCCGGAGCTGGCTGCACACTCTGCTACAGCAAAAATTCACGCCTGGTTGTGCACCTCCACAGCAGTCTTACTCCAAGTTTGCACACTCTCCATTGTATTTTAAAAACAGATCAGCAACAATTATCCTTACAGTGACTAAAACAGCATTTAATTCATTGGGTATCTTAAACAAACTTCGATGTTTTACTTGTCTGGGTAGTAATAGCTATTAAAGAAATAGTGTAGTAAAATGTTGATGGTAAATAAAGTGAAAGTAATCACTCAGCTTTTCTAGCCATAGATAATTTTATACAAATTCTTCTTTTACAAAAGTAGGATTATGTCAACAGAACATATTTTAACTTGGTTTTTGGCTGGTCATTATTATTAAGCTTATGAACTCTGAAAGCAAACAGTTGGGATTCCTAGGCCAAACTCTTTATCATTTATCAACCAATTTTGGGCCAAGGTGCCTTAGTTCCCTTAACTGTACAAAGTAAAGGCTAATAATGCAGGCATGTTATATAACTGTTATAAATGCCAACAAATGTAAAGCTTTCACTACAGTACTTACCACATAGGTGCTGTAAGTTTCCTAGTTATCATGATTCTGTCCATCACATTATCATTAACATGGTCCACCATGTCAAATCTCACAATTTCTTACCTCACATTTTTTTTGTCTCCCTACAGTTTTGTGGGAAACAAAATAATTGTTCCTAAAGGTGACCATGCTATAATTATGGAAACCTGTGAATTTCCAGTGACTATGTCACACTACCAAAAATACACCTGATCTTGCTGAGCTGGTTAAATAAGATGAGTGAACATGTGGATTATCTTGGTGGACCCAATATCAACTGGAATCCTTAAACTCAGAGAACTTTTCTAGGCGAGTAGGGGAGAGGCTAATAGACTATCAAGTAAAGAGGCTGTGACCCAAGCACACTGGGCATCTTCTAGAAGTGAGAAAGGTGAAGAGGCAGTCTCCATAACCCCCAGAAAAAAATTCATTAATTTTTAATTCATTAAAATTAATTAATTTAATGAATTAAAAATCATTAATGCTTGACATAAAACGATGAAAAATTTCTGACACATATGTGGAGATAATTATTTAAAACGACCAAATCTATAATTTTTCATAACATCAATTGAAACCCATTGCAGTTTGTTTCTAATGTTTAGATTTTACAAAAAGTAAATTTGTCGGTATCATTTTTCCTGTACCATGCTTACTTCCTTTTGATGTTCCTAGAAATTTCCTTATGAGTCATGGCGAAGTATTGTCAAATGGGCTCTGAAGGAGTTCTATCAACTTAGGTGTTGGCTGTCTTACCTCTAACCCCACCAGCCATGAATATTATTATCCTTTAGAAGAACTGTTTCATTCTAATTCACATCTGTTCATGGTGAACTGTGTCCTGAAAATGAAT